AAACTTCATTGTAGTTATGTGCATATGCAAAAAGCATATTATACACAGATTTCAGAATGATTTATGGTTTCAGGCATCCTGTAGGGGGTCTTGCTATATGTCTCCCGTGGATGAAGGGGGACATCTTGGATGATTCAAAGAAAGAAAGGAAAGGAGGAGGGAAAGGGATGAAGAGCAGGAAAGGAGAGCTGGGGGCCGGCAGGTACTCCTGCTATTCCCCGTTTACACTCTCACCGCACATAGATGCATTCTTCGCTTCTCTCTTATTTTCTTCTACCAAACGTGTGATTCGCATGATATTCTGTACTTACCGCTGGGCCAGAGCAGGACATGGCATTCTATCTTTAAGCCACAGGACATAGAGCAGAGTAGTCTAAGTCCCCTGAGATGCCCTAGAATAATCAACAGATATAATTGATCTTTCACACTTCTTTAAGCAATTCTTAAAACTAACTGAAGTAAATGTCGTTTAAAACAGGGGGCTATCTCTGGATGTCACCTCCATGGGATGCAAGAATATGCACTTCCTTTGTAATTAGCGTCAGAATAAGTGTTATTATTGGTAATGCCAAGTTAGAAGTATGTTAACTTTTAAACCCAGGCCTTCTAAAAGTGACGCATATTTTATTAGTGCCTTATAAAGTTTTCTCAGTTTTCTTTAGCTTAATTTTCTCATACAGAAAATGGTTATAACAATATCTGGCATGCAAGGTTGATATCAAAATATATACATAGGAACAGCTGATATAAAATATCTAATACAATGCTTGGTACATTCTGAGGCCTACTTTTTCCTGTTTTGATCAGAACCTTAACTTATTAATATTTTCTTTGTCTAATAATTGATTAATATTTCTTTGTCTATTGATTTATTACTGCTTCTGTCTACTAATATTTTCACATAATACTGTGGGAGCATTTAAAAAATTCACATTGATTTGAAAGTTATGCAGCGGGAGAATGTAAAATCTAACATGCCTGAAATGCTTCGAATTACTCATTAAATTTAAATAATAAAAATAACACCTAAAATGAAGGGTCATCTCTTCATTGGTTGGCAATATAGTGTATCTTTGCTTTCTATGATTTAAACAATGTCCAAAGTTGATGTTCTTTTCTCTCACATTACCACATTATCAATGTCAGTGATTCAGGGTGTAGACCTGCTACAGCGCCTGGTCCAGACAAACACTGGAAGTTGGGAAGGTTGGAGGATGGTTTCCTGCAACACCTGCCCATTGGGGTGGAAGGAGCTCCCTGCAGAATGACCCCCGGGCACAAAGAAGTCCTGCAGTCAGCCATGGGAGAGTCAGTAACTTCAGTTCCTGCCCATTCCGGAAGTAATTTCCACCTAAGGCATCACTGCCGAGCAGGGAGCTTGGGATACTTTCCAGACTGGAAGGTATTTCTACCATGGTGTTAGGGAACCTGCAAGTGGAAAAAGTAGCCCATTCAGCTTGCATAACCTCCATGCATTTTAAAATATGATTATATGTATACATGTGTATATACAAATATACTTGTCTGTGTGATATATAAATTCAATGTATGTGCATAAGAAAAATAGCATCTGGGCCAGGGACTTAGCTCAGCAGTTCAGTGGGCTGCCTTGCAAGTGCAAGGACCTGAGTTCATTCCCCGGTACCAAAAAAAGAAAAATAGCATCTATCTCATAACATGAACATAAAAAACCCAAAAGATGATTGATGAATTTAACCCTTGAGCTACTTAGAAATTATCTTGTCTTGCTCTGAGTGTTGATTCTAAAACTCTTCCTCCAAAACTATAAACCTTGGGAGCAGAATCTTATGCTCCATCCATCTCAACTTACATTAAATACTTAGTATTGCAAATGTTATCTAAAACTCATGTAAACATGCTTTTGTTTTTAAACCTCATGGGCTAAAGATTCTCTCTGGAAGAAGCCACTGTCGGTCACAGTGGGTAGGTAGTATATCTGTGTGTGAGCCTATATGAGTTGCATCTTTTTTAGGAATGGGTGCTTTTTAAGGAAAGATTTCTGTAGGTGGTTCTTTTTTGTTCTAGCTTTGCATTTATACTGGGTTCCACCCCCACATTCTTTCATTTGGTAGTACTTTTGGAAATCTAACTCATAAAAAGATACATATACTTCTTTGCCCTATACTGGGACAGAACATCTTCTTATTTATATACACTGTACAAATATATGCTATAGAAACAAAAACTCTTATTTTTGGCTGCACTTTGTCTTTCCTAACTTCATGCAGAGCTGGAGGAAATTATATCCTAAAAAAAATAGAAGATTTCACAATAGTGAAAACTCCATTGGAGGGGTGTGTTGCTTACCAGAGTTATGTTGCTAAGGTGAAGTGCTTTTAGGCCTTCTGAAAATAACTTTCTTGGGTTCCTGGGAAGGGAGGTTTGGGTTATCATCTGTGAATTCTCTCCAGCATTGGCAGAGCCATTGCCTAAAACTCCTCAGTCAAAATTTGCATCATCAAAACAGAAGAGAATGAAGTCTTATGAGAAATTTTTCACCGGGAAAGTGACAAATTGTGGGGAAGGGAGAAGAAAGAGTAAAGTGAGCCAAACTCTTGCTTGTTGTTCAAATTGTATTGTAAAAACTGTAGAGCTAGCGTGTTCCCAATTCTATGGCAGGCCCCCCACCAAAAATGTACTTAGGTCATGCACACTTTACCATGAATGAATTTACCTATTACTTTAGTTGTGTGTGACAAAAATAAAAATTCTTTCATGCGTTTTGTTAGCATCCACTTGATAGAAGGCTGCATTTCTTAAAGGAGGAATTGTCTTTCAATCTGAGTTTGCTTTCACCACTGTTAAATTCTTCCTTGGATATATCACTGTGTTTTAATACTCACGTTGAGCTCATGAGAATCCCATAAAGTCAGAACTTTTGTAATGTCTTACCTGTAAGTTGAATAAGTGATGTCAATGATCAGAAATTCTGCTCTGTTTATTTTTCTCTTTCTATTCTACGCAGCTTTCATATTCATTTTCACTTCCTGGTTTTATTGTGCGCTGGAAGTTCTAAAATGTGGCAAGAAAGGAAAGCTCTATTCTTACCAGAAAAAGGGATTTAAAAGTTCCTGAAACAAATAAAACTCTTATTGCAAAATATCTAATCAAGCTGCACAGATTTAAAGGTCTGTAAATTAAAGTTTCCTACATATTCTTATTTGATTTATAAGCTGAAGAGCTGATTTTTGAAATTTAACTGGATGAAGACATGTTTAGAAGGAAAAAAACTATCGAAGAACCTTGGTACACTCACATAAAGAGTCTCTTGGAAGATCTCCATGGCCTCTTCTATCTCTAAGAATATAGCTTGTGCTCTGGGTTCAACAATTTGCTCATTTAACTTCTTTCTGATACTTTAAATGGAGGAAATATCTATATAATCCAATGTATAGTATAGTATTAATTCTTTCCCTGAGGCAATGCATATCATGTTAGAAACCTGATAAGTTATAACTTAATGAAAGTAGTTATGTTTACCAATGTTTAACTTAATATCACACAGATCCTCTTTGAACTCCAAGAATAAGTTTTATTTATTGGAATTCAAAATTAATTAACCATAAAGAAACTAACATTAAAGAGGAGAAAGTGCCATTTTTTTCCTGGAATAAAACATTTTTAATTTAAAGTAGGGTAATCAATCACCTTTAAACTTTTCACTTAGCCCAAACCATATGGGCGTCTTGTGCATGATAATGATCCGAACATTAGTGCCCTTAGTGATAGCACTCTGTCCCTTCTTATCTCCTGTAAGATTCTGTTCTCTTCAGGCATACAACTTGTGCATTCTAACTCCCGTAGCATTTGGACAAAAGATTCAGCTTGAGTTTTCTTTTCTGTCTCCTCTGGAGACCTCAAACTCTCATGACTAAGATTCCCAAAAGTTTTAAGTGTTTACAGTGGATAATATAAGAAGATCTTAGGTATATCTACATGTGTAGGTTATCTTTTACGACATCAAAAGCAATAAAAAAAAAGCTGTATCTTTCGTAGATGGTACAATAAACTCTAGTACATCATCTTTCAAGACACTTCTTAATCAATAGCTTCAGCACCAGCAGCCTATCTAGTGCAATAGTCTTGGTCTCTTTTACTTTTCAAACTCAGGCTGAGACTTCAATGAGACTCAGGGCAGAGCTGCAGTAAGATACCTACCCCAGTCCACATGCATGGCTCTTTAAAACCAGCTTTTTCAGGGTGTGATTTCACCAGCCTTAGACTCTATAGTTTGGTTAATACACACAAGTCATGAGTCTTTACCATTCTCCATGTAAGCAAAAAGAGTGCTTGGATCTAAGTCAGTGCTAAAGTTAAAATATTAAGTGTAGCATATCGCGGGCAGAAGTGTGTGTTTGTATGAAGTTCTTCTAAAATATACCAAAATGTTTACAGTGCTAATCTCAGGGTGATGAGATTATAAATAATTCTGTGTTCAACATTGCCCTTGCCTAGGCTTGTAGATCTTAAAATGATTAACACATTAACATTATAAAGAAAAAAACAAAGACTAGGATGTCATCGGTGAAGTGCAATTAACATTTGTTCTCTGTTAGAAACCCTTAATTTCGTAATCAGAATGCCAGATTATTTGTCAGAGGTATGAGCTGGTATTCAGCCAACAACAGAAGCACAGAGTAATAAAATTAATATCTCATGTGCAACCAGGAGTGAAGAGGCAATGCAATGTAATAAGCAAGACCAAAGAGGGAGGTAGAAATGCAGGACACATTTTGCAAAGAGCCAAAGCCACTGAGCAAACTGCGTTCTTATTTGATGACAGTGTTCCTCAACAACCTGTATACCGCAGGTCACGCTCTCCAATCTTTTGGTTTGCCTGGGCCCACTGAGTACTGAGGGATCATTTTAAGTCACACAGAAAAACGTAATCTAGATAATGTATGTAAGTGCCAATGTTTCCTTTATTGCTTATACTCTAATTTATTAAATTTATGAAATGATACAAGCCTGAGGATAAGAACGAGAAATTATGTGTGCTTAATGACAATAAAGACCTGACTTCACAGGCGCACACGTGTAGGTGGTTGAAATGCGGTTCTGCTGATTGTCACTGCGTTTTAGTTGCCAAGAGGCATAAACATGGATACATTTGGATTTCTGTCGGTCGGGGTGAGGGGAGGGGTTCACTCTGCCTGCAGCCTGCCCTACACAGCATTCTGTTGTTGCCTGTCTGGTCTGCACACCGGCACTGTGCCGTCAAGTCATGAAAAAGTCACAAAAATCACACCATAATGGTAAAAGTTTTCCATCTTGTAGGGCTGCATTACTTACTAGCTGTCTGCTTCTGCATGTGGGCTGGTGGCTGTGTTTTTAGACTGGGAAATGGATCTAGTTTTTAGGGTCCAAAGCATTCTGAAACAGTGAAGACAGATAATTTTTTTGTTGTTGTTTTCAAATGAACAAAGAAACAGTATTTATGTTCTGCGCTGTGTTTTGTTTTGTTCCAGGGCAGGATGCTACTACCATGGACCACTGAGCTGCATCACCAATTTTTTTGGTTTGTTTGTTTGAAACAGGGTCTTTCTGAGTTACCCAGGCTGGCCTTGAACTTGCCGTCCTAGTGCCTCAATTTCCTGAGTAGCCAGGCACTGTTTTAAGTGCTTTACAAATATTAAATAATTTAATTTTCTTAGCAAATCACGAAATAAGCTCTATCACTCTTCCTGCATAATGGGGAAGATGACCTAGGTGCAGAGAGCTTTAGTAACTTGCACAAAGGTGCTCAAAGGTCAGGATTTGAACCTGGATGGTACAGTTTGTGAGGCCTTCAGCACAATATTTTGTCCTTCAAATGAATGACAGAGCATGTTCATCAGTAGCATTTCAGAAAAACGAAATAATTTCAAAGTAATCGGTGTAGTATCAGCTTTCTGATTATTCATTAAGCTGTCACAGAGGATAGCAGCCAGAGGTCTCCTTTGAACCACAGTACTTGATGCAGGCATCAGAGTCATGCAGCTTTATGACTGTCTCTCTCTTGGCATAGTACGAGAACCAGAACACATTGTTCCCAGTGAAACTGGCTTCTCCCACAGTGGAGGAGATAGCCCGTGCTCATTAAGCTTTATGAAGCTACGTGCTAAATGGAAACCGGGTTGCTTGGCGACCAGGTATCCTTATATCTCTTGGTTGCCCAGGATATCTGCTGGGCCAGAGCTCAAGAGTTGAAAGTCCATAGCTTGGGGGTGACTTTTTCCTCCCTGTGCAAATCGACTGAGAAGTGGTTAAACAGGTTCCAAAATATGTAAGCTGTACACAGCCACGTTCTTTTTGGAGATATTGCTTTTCTTATGGAATGGCAGTATCCCACTGAGGGAGTCCATAGATTAATGGTTTCAGAGGTTTGGGCTAATAAGTAACAATATGGTACAGAATTTAGGCATTTTTTCCTTTGATTCATCTAAGTTTAATGATGTAAAAAATCACAACTTTACAAATCCAAGCTAGTCATGTACTCCATGTTTTATTTCATTTTATTTGGTACTGGGGATCAAACCTGGGACCTTGTGCTTGCAAAGCAGGCAGTAGAACTACTGAGCCAAATGCACGGCCCTACGTACTGCGTGTTTTAGCTCAGTTTTTCTGCTTATGTTTACAAAAGTCCTGTTACATACTATTCAAACATGGCTGGGAAAATATGGCATCGAATATAAACATTAATTAAGCTTGATGCATTCTTCTAATTTCTACTCTATCTCTCTATATAGCTATATGATTATCAATAATAATTTAAATAAATTTATATTTTGGGCAAACACCATTTTAGAGTTTTCACTGAACAATAATTATTAAGTGTAAAACCTCTTTAATAACTGTTATGCCATACATTTTCCATTGTAAATGGGAATCTCATAATTTAATGCTGCATAATTTCCTATCTCTAAAATTATCTATATTCTATTACATGAAGGAAACCAACCTTTGGCATGAAACAAAAAAGTTATCTCCTTATGTAACAGAAATTGGTTGGGGATTTAGCTCAGCACTTCCTCTGCCTGCCTCACAGCTGCAAGGTCCCAAGTTCGATCCCCAGTACCACACACACACACACACACACACACACACACACACACACACAAAAAAACCACCCACACACACACACACACACACACACACACACACACACACACAAAAGGTCTTATGTAACAGAAATTATAGTTCCTTTAAAAATTCTCCAAAGCATTCTTAGAATGTTCTTAATCACTGAATTGACACAATGAATTGCAAAGATACCCTTGCTATTCCTCTTTAAGTACACGTATAAATCTATTAGTCAGATCTGATGTCCACAAAATTCATTCATGTTACCTACTTATCTGTATATGGATTTTGAGACATCTCCCTCTGGAGAGCTCCTATAGTTGGTATTAAAATAAAAAAAAATCCACCTGAATAAACACAAATAAAAAATAATTTCTTGTTAAACTTTCACGGAAAAGAAATTTAATAATTTAAGCTCAAAACAAAAAGACTAGACCCAGAGAGAATAGATGGAAAAGAAACAACTTCTAGAGATGGAATAACAAGGACAGCATTTACAAGGGATTATTCCTTTAGTCTCTGTCACCCACCACTACTACTTTAGAACACCTGAATAATTCTTTCTTTGAAAGACGTAGAAAATCCAAAATATTAGGGAAGACTGAAGAGAATAGTGAAAGGGTTATAATATCTGAAGATTATTTGAGGAATGCAGACCAAGAAGATAGATCGTTCCTTTCTCTTCTCTTTCTCGCCTTTTCTTAATCTTCCCCCTGAAGCTTTCACAGTCTGTGTCCCTTTTTCCTACATCTCTCAATATTTAAGATTGGGCAGTCACTTAGAAGGAGGGCAGAGAGAGAGAGAGAGAGTTGTGTTGGAGACCTGTTAATAACTGACATCCATCATGTGAAGGATTGGCTTGGTTCATTTATTCATTTGTTTGTTTGCTTGGACCATGAAGGACTTAATTGTAATTAATGAGAAGCAATCTAAGGACCACTGTTTCCATATAAATAAATTTAGCTGCCGTCTACAGGAAACATAAATGAAATAGATTGTATCAAATGGTGATGATGATAGTAGTGATTATAATGCTGTCATAGAAAACAAAAGATAATGGCTAACACATGTTGGGAATTGCCAAGGATATTATCGCATCATCACATTTAATTCTTATAATGTTGGGAATTGCCAAGGATATTATCGCATCATCACATTTAATTCTTATAATAGCCTTATGAACTACCTACATTTGTTTATTTATTTATTGATTGATTTTTTTGAGACAGGTTTTCACTATGTAGTTGAGACTGACCTGGAACTCACTATGTAACCCAGGCTGGTGGTGAACTCACAGAGATCCTCCTGCCTCAGCCTCCTGAGGGCTGGGATTACAGGTGTGTGCCACCACACTTAGCTGAACTAAATACTTTTATTACCCACACGTTACAAATAGGGAACTTGTGATATGAATATTCCCCCATATTCTGCAGATAATAAGTTCAAATGTAGGATGTTAACTGTAAATAAGATCCATACAAGCACTGTAGGGTGCAGTTCACTGTGAAGACTGAGTTTCAGGTATGTCCCTAAATGGAATGGTTAGGAATCATCTGTTGCTGAATTAGCCATTGTATCATCTGGATAAATATTTAGTCAACTTTGCAGCAAATGGTGAAAACGGTTGCAATACTAAGACTGTAGTAGGATTCAAGAAACTGGTGAATTGTGTCAGAGTTTATTGATTTTGATTTCATATCTTAGGATCAATCCAAAGAAACAAGTCACTATTTCTGGCTTTGCAATTTTGGAAGTTTTCTTCCAATGCTACCAAAATTATGTTGACCTGCCTACCACACACACACGTGCATGCACACACAGTCCAAAACTTGCTTCCTACTCATGTTACCAAAAGCACAGCTTAAAAGCCAGTAGACATCAGAAGACTCCATCACAGTGGCAAATCCAATATACAAAACTTGTGCTTGTCTACAGAATTTCCCCTTTCAAAGTCTTTCTGGTCATCGTCACAGTGAAAAGGTGCTGCTTAACTTTGCTGTTGCTTCCCATTATTCATTGGAAGTAAGGGGGACCCAGTACCCGTGCAACGCTGCAACTGTAGTGAATGAAACCTCTATTTTAAATTGACCTCAGGACCCAGTGCATGACACTCTCAGTCTGTTATCAAGATGGGTTAATTCACTGCTGCATTTCATGAATGCATAGTGACTGCAGTGAGTGTCGGTTAAGGCCAAGTTTTCTAAGGACTCTGCAGCTCCTCGACATGGACAAAACATTTCTTTTCAGGGATCTGTGTTTGAATTCTCTTGATTTTCCTATGTCCTAGTATGTATCGGATGTGACTCTGTGTTTGTACATTAAATAATAGATTTTGTGTTTCTTTCGTTGGAGAAAAAGTTTCCCAAAGGTATGATTTATTCATTGCCTATATGGCTCCTGACATTTGTTAGAACAGAATTCTATCAAAATAAGCTCTCGGAGCTTGCACCAATGAACTATCATGATCAAGACTTGGTTAAATAGTTGAACTTCTGAAACACAGCCAACTGCAAATTCAAATTTCTGAAAATCGTATCACTCTTCCTAAAATATTTTGAATTCGCTTCCATTATATAGGATAGTTTTGCATACTGTTCATTTTATGTGGACCCGTTCTCAGTATCCTCAGCAACAAGCTGCTTCAAAGGAATATCATAGAAGCCCTTCTTAGTGTAACATGGATTGTGCATTTCATTATTTAATACATTGTGTATATTCTTATTCCCAGAAGTAGATTTGTGCTAATTTTAGAATATATTTTTTTCTGACACGATGTATGACAATTAAAATTATCTCTGCATCTGGTATTTTAGACAGATTGAAAGTGATGCGGTCCTGATAGGACGGGACTAACCCTCTTCCCTAGTGGCCCCAGGCCATTTTCCTTGCAAGTCAATAAAAAGAATTTCCATTATGACTTACTCTGTATGACCCGAAGATCTTTCATCATGTAGTGCACTGTAGCATCATTTTAAAATAGAAATGCACATAGGAAAGTTATTTATTTTCTTCCCGTTGTGGCACTTTCTTTTACTTGTGTGTACTCCATTCCAATACCACCCAGTTTTTTCCACCCTTCCTGGTGGTGTCTGTAATTCCCCAGTCCTACAATGTTAACCTTTAAAATTCAGCCCAGGAAAGGAACAAGCCAACTGGGGCCGACTTCAGAGCACGAGGTGTGATTGACAAGTACAGTGAGTGTTTAAGTTAGAACAACAACAACAAAAAAAATCACAGTAAGAGTTACTTCATTAATCCCCCAAAGGAGTTCACCTGTCTTTGAACACATTCATCCCATTGTTCTGGCCGCTTTCTGGAGCAGCTCTGGAAGTCCTCTTTCGTGAGGGTCGTCAGTTGCACTGTCGTGGCTGCTTCAGTGTCCTGAGTACCTGTCAAGGTCATTCCGACTTTGGAAAAGAGCCAGGGAAGTTACAGGGTTGCAGGGCAAGAGATTCCGCAAATCAAGAGGAAGTGGATAAACCATATTTTTCAAGAGCTTGGCTTTCCCTTGGATGGCACTTGTCAGCAACGCTCACCATATTTCCAACACAGGTTCTGAAGACACTCACAGAACAGCACATCCAGAACTGCTTAGGAAAGAGTCGAGAAGGATGGGGTTGGTGTATTTGAAGTAAGGGGCAGTATTTTGAGGGGGAACTAATGGCGATCTGTGTTTTACCGTAATAATTTCTAAAAGTCTGAACATTCACCTTATATTTCAGTCATGCCTTGTACAAGTAAGGGGGGAAATCAAACTTCATACTCTCTGTTAGCACATCTCACTTTTTACTTTGATGAAGAAACTTAAAATACAACATTATTTCCAGAGCTCTGTGGAGGTAATAGTTCCCCAAACTTTTCTATTGACCTAGCAAGTCTGAATTAATTATGCTGAGTGATATATAATATATCAGTATATTACTTAGATGAAGTTTAATTTGTTTAGAGGATTTATTAAAATCCTTCAATGAATGGGAAATGATTGCCGAATTTTTAACATATGTAAATGACAGATTTTTTTGTTTTTTCTACTTTCACTTAAACTGAGATCCAGTTCTCAGTATTATAAGGAATATCCAGATATGATGCAATGCGTCAGATTAAAATATTCTCCTGATTAAAGATGGTTGTCACTATGACACCTGGAAGATATTACTATAATTACAGCATGCATAATATTCTGAGAAAAATTTAAAAATTGTGAAAGCAAATCTATTGTCATATATATCTGTGATAAGCACCCATTTTCAGAAATATGTAGATTTTTTTTTTTTTTGCTCCAGACAGGAGGCAGCAAAATTAACTCAGATTCATATCACCTCCAGGCCTTTTGGCTAAATCAAGTGTAACTCAGATTCCTAAGTTTGCTTTGTCTTTTGGTTGTCTGAAATTTCTTTTGTTGCCCCTTCTTTTTAACCTGAACAACTTCCCCTACACTCACAGCAAAGAAGTGTTCTTTATCTTCTACTGTTTCTCATAGCAGAATATTTTTAGGAAAGTTGCTTATATTTGAAGGTAAAGAAACCCATTCATCTTCGGATAGCTAAGAAGGAGATGGAACTTCATGTTGATGCTCTCTTGGAGTTCAGGTAGGGATGGAACAGATTTCTTCATGCAGAGCACTTTGTTTCATCATCAAATAGGTGAAACCTACAAGGTATACACATATACATATCCACTGTGGCGCTCACAAGTCATTTAAAATGACAGTGACTTCAAAGGCATACAATTTACAGGGAACATTTTTATATTTGTTCTACCTAACCAGTTTAGTTCACCTGCCAGAAATCTATTGCATTCTTGTAGTAGAATCTGTTGAATAACATGTGTTCGGTTACTTTCTCAATATTTTTGGACAGTTTGTCCTTACTTCAGAACTGTGTAGTGTTTTTTTAAATAAAATATTGTCTTCACACTAGATTCACCCTTGAATTGTCTTGTAATATTCTGTCATCATGAGTCACATTAAAATGACAATAATATGATGTATTAAAATGTCATTTAGTTGCACATATCGCCAGTATACTACACCAAATATATTTTCATTTGCAATACAGCTTTATATGATGATTTAGTATAAAGGTCTACTCATCTATATTGTTTTTAATCCCCAATACACCTGTCCAAAAATACTCCCAGAAAATAAATTTATAAATGGAGAATAAACTTTGTTTTGTTTATTTTCTTTCTCCTTTGCTCTTCCTTTCCCCCTCTCTGGCTCTCTCCCTCACAACTAGAAATTTCACTCTATCTTTAATGGTTTTTTATTATGTTCTCAAGTAGATACAGTGATACGGTTTAAGAAAACACAGTTTCTTCTTTTCATCCAAGTTTGCCCATTTGCGGATGGATTTCCTTTGCTAAATGAATCACAGCCATCACTGTGTTGTTCCTTGCTGTCAAGGTGTAGCATTTGACTAATAAACGCACTCAGTGCAATTCTTGTTTTTTTCCCACAGACTAAAAACTAAAGTCTTCGCATAGCTTGTAGGATGGATAACACTGGTGACAATTAACATTTTAAAAAAATGGATTGCTTTCTGGAACACTTCTACACTTAAGTACTATCTATTTATGTTAGGTACAATTCACTGGAATTAATTATGTAATAGTAATGCTCTTCAAAGGATTTCTTAATTGGTCAGTGTTTAGTATGCTCCATGCCTTTTCGGGATGCTATTCTAAAATCTTATCAAATCTGTGAGAATGAGACTGTCAAGGACACTCAGGTGCATTTATCCTTTAAATTTTAAGAATGTGCAGAGTAAGAGATATGATAAATAAGGTCTGCATTGCGAATTGCTTGTTTCCATACATAGCATTTCATTGGAAATCAGCCATAATTATTCACTTATTTATTGATGGCTATTTTTCAGCTTCATTAACATTACGTTGTTAAGTAGCTATTTCAGAGACCACAAATGGCCTGATAGCGTAAAATATTTACTGTCTGCCCCTTTTAAGGAAACACTTCTATCAGCTGATATAGATTCTGCTGATTTAGATAAAATTAAATGATTTCTTCAACAAATGTTAGCAAGAATTTAATAAGGCAAATGGTTTTCTAATAGAGCTGAATGTTTAGGTGAGATGCCAAAAAACAGAGAAAAATGTTAATTTAGATGACTTATTCTTTAAAAGAATACTTAAATATGTCTGTGATTATCTTTAATAAAACTTCTGAGAGATTTTCCAATTCATTTCACAGATAAAGTTGCATTTTGGCACAGACTTTATGAAAACCTTGACTGTCTTTTGGGGCAAACAGAAGAATAAAATAAGAATTTCTCTTTATCTTGAAACACAGAACAGAGCAAACCCACTTTTGATGAGACATCAAGTACAAAATCCACATTTTGTTCCATGAAGCAAAGATTAAACTGAGGTTAATCATTGTCATGATTAATATTATTATCTCAAGTGAGGAAAAATCATGTGCTCCCTTACAATGCTTCTGTCGTTAAATCTGAGAGACAGAAGAGGTAGGACGTACACGGATTGTTATTTTATGAACAACCAAATTACCTGTTCAGTCCAATGCCCAGCTGAGTGATGGGACTATTTCCAGCTTTATTGTTGGTTCTATTCTTCACACTACAGCATAAATGCCTACTATTCTAAGGGGCTGCACAAGAGACATTAGGTCATATATCACATAAGCAATATCTGTCTGGAGTGTATTGTGCATCAGTAAGGCAATAAAACAGCAAAAATGGAGAGTCTGTGTTAAGAAAATATTAATGGATACATAGGCAAGTACGCGGACTAATGCTTTCACTTGGAAACTAAAACCATGCGCAGAAAAGTGAGCTACCCAGTTAAATCTATCCCTACAGGGCAAACAAGAAGACAAGATGTAGTGCTTGGGGAGAAAAACATTAATCAATATTGTCATAACATTTCCCTTGATTCCACCGCTTCATTTCAAAAGAATAATTACATCAAGAATACGTTACACAAAGTATTACATAATTACACAAAGAATTACATAAAGAATAATTACCACTAGTGATGAAGGATTCAAGACACTTGTAGAATACAGATATGTTAACATCTGACCTGAAATAAACAGAAAGAGCATTTTGAAATGTTTAGGTATAACGTTCAAAGTCAGCGATGTATCCCCCAGGTTCCTTAAGGCGTTTTCAGCCACATAAACTAAAATAAATTCAGCGAAACAAACCAGCATTTATGAAACCTGGCACTGCACCAGTGAAGACTATACCAACAGAAATATCGCTCTGTAGTTTTAAGACATAAGATTTAAAAACATCAGTGAGATTATACAGAGTTGCTCAGTTTCCTGTCATCAGTAGATTTTCTTCGCTCAGGAGACTTTCTGAGTTAGAGGCTCGGGACTGGACAATACAATTACTCACATACATTCTCAAAGGACGAGCTGTCCTGTCTTTATAGTACTATAGCCCTTGAAACCTTTAGTTTGTTTTAAGACCCCTTTACCTGTACCAACTACCAAAGAACTCAGATTGAAGACAAACAAACCAGAAGAAGGCAACTATCCTGCCATGTGGGGGACACAGAGCAAGAGTAAAAGGAGAGGACCTTAACTATATCTCCCAATATTTAAATGATGAACAAAGCTAAACGTGATTAAATAAAACACTTTCTCTTTACCTATCTTGACACACACCACTTCTTTGGGGCCTGGGAGTCAAGTTTAAATTTAGAATTTTCAGATTCTTTGGTGGCTTTTGCTGGCCCAGGAGCCTATTCTAAAATCTGGTAATGAGTTCCCTCCTATTTCTTTTACTACTCCTGGTTCTGAGGCAGCCTGTGAAGGGACTGGCAAGGCATGCAGGTAGGTATATTTCCACGTGCCTCAACAACGCCGCTCTACCAAATACGTACCTGTGTCTACACCTTGGACCTACGTACAGTTGATACCCTGGCAGCAGGCTGAAGCTCCTGGGAATTCCAGGGTTCTAGGTATCTGAAACACAGTCTAGAAGGCAAGCGTAGCTTCTTGTTGATCTCACCTCCTCACTCCTTCTTAGCAGTATGGAGAGATATGTGTGCAGCTGAACAACACAATTGGGTCCTTTTCAGTATAAGCTTTGTGTGAGGTCTTCTTTATCCTCCCCAAATCTAAGAGTGGTGCTACTCTTTCATTCCTGCAATAGAAATGCTTCCTTCTTTGGTGTTCTGTCACTCATTTCCTACTGCGCTGATGTACAATTTAGAAAATATTTAACTCTCAGCTGGAAGGGCAAAGAGATCACTGCAACTTCATGCTGTTGAACAGAGATTAATTGTAACTCAGGTCAAAGTTATAGGATCAGATCAAATGGCCTTCATCTTTTACAATTACTAGTTTGTGAAGGGCTTATTGAATTTATCGTGGATTACCTCCATGGGCCATGAGATCAGAGTCCCTGTTGTATTTGGAAGATGTTCTATCTATGTGATTTGTCACATCTCGGTATGAATTTAGCCTTGCTTAGATGCTGTTCATACTGGTGTCCATATATCCGATGGTTTCCTTGAAAATGAGCCTCCCCTACAGATGTAGTTCTTCAGAAAGACACTCCCTGGCGTTTATTCTTGGCTGTCTTCACTTCCAATGATCCTATCAACATTTCCTAAGAAAATCTTCTTCAGCTGTTCTTAGGCCAATGAAGTCGCACTAATGGCACAGAAGGGGTACTTGTTTGAGACAGAAAAAAGTGTCAATTTAAACCCACTCTTTAAGCTTCACAATGGCATACTGAGCTCTATATGCTGGGGACAATTGCTATTTCCTTCTGAACTGGGGTCTCAAAAGGACATAATCATTTGTAGAAAGCATGATTTGTTTTACAATTCTGAATCAGAGGTGGAGTGGGGGTGAGCGCATGAGGAATTACTTGAGGGTTCCACGTCCACAGATGAAGTTATGGTCAAACATGAGATTCTGGGATTGTCACACAAACACAGGTTTCCGGCTGGTCACTTAGTGTGGACATTTTTCTTTGCCATCATGTCATCATCTCATCCCTCTGAAATAGTTCGCATGATGCTCACAAATACATGGAAATTTCTAAGTTAACGTTTCTAACCAAGCCGGCGTAAAAAGCAGAGAAATCTACGAAGGATGGTTGACAAAGTAAGTGACCTCAACGTAAGGAAGTCACGTGCCCTCACGCACATGCAGATTATCGGGAGGATTGTGGGTTATGTTAATGCCATCCAAAAGATGGATTATTTCCAAAATATAAACCCATTTATTTTTGGTCATAAACTTATCTTTATAGCTGGTATTTAACGACTGAGACAGATTGCTAAGTGCATCTGCTTACTCAGACTCATTGAAAATATTCTCTACTCAGAGCAGTCTTTCTTTTTGCATCAGTTTATACCAAACACAATTTGTTAGACTTGCTGGACGGACACATTTTTCACCTCCAACATACTCAGATAAAGTTGTAAACGGTTTCCTGCTGGTAAATGAGTCATGATGAAATGAAATCTCAAATTTTTCCACTCACAGGATTGCACTGCTTCTCATACTTATTTCTTAAAGCCATATTCTCCCTCAGGAATCTTGCGAGTAAGAATTGTAACAGTTAGGGTTTATTAAGTGCACCTTAGTTTGTCGTAAGTGCTTTGCACATCTCATCCAATCCACTAAGTAAAACTGAATGAGATATTGTCACCGCCACCACTTGACGGATAGAGAAACAGAAGGTCAGGGAGTTTTGGTGACTCGACCAAAATAACACTGTTTAAAATATGTGGAGAGCTGAGATTCAAACCTGAGCCTGAATGACTCTAAAAATCGTGCTATAACTACTAGATGGATACTTTCTCTTAAAGCACGTCAGCACATTTTCTGTCACTTTAACAAAATACCCCAGGATAGATATTATAAGTTGAGAGATTTACTGTGTCACAGTTTTACAGGTTCAGTGACATGACACCTGCCTTACTTTGGCCCCGGTGAGGACCCTCTGGCCATATCACAATGTGATGGGAGGCAATAAGGCAAGAGTCCTTGTTGCGGTGGGAGAAACCGCATGGCAAGACCTAAAACCACAGAAAGGGAGGGACCAGTCTTGCTCATTTTATAACCACTCACTCTCACAGAAGGTGACTGGGGTCCCAGGAGAACTACTTCCTTTCTTCCACCAGCAGCACCTCCAGCAGCCTCCCACTAAGATCCTCCTCCTCCTCCTCCTCAAAGTCTAAGCTCTTCAACTCTAAGCCTTCCACACAGGAGCCCCTGGGAAGGTCCTCAAGTCATATTCAATGTAACGGAGATCCAAATCTTTGGCTTCTGAGCACACGGTTTCTCTTCTGGGACCGTGCAGCATTATTTCTTCTGCATCCCCAGGTGGCAATCAGGGAGTTATTCGATAGCACCAAGACCCTGCGTTCTTTCCTAGGAATTGCCTACAGTTTCTTGCCGATGCCACGGTGGTTTACAGCATAATCGCTTTGTTGTCTTCTGTGGTTTACCAAAGGGTGGCACAAGTCTATGAATAGTCCTCTCAAACAGAATTGATGATCAAAGCCTGCTCTGTAAAGGCTTGGCTTGAAGTGTGGTGACGCTTATCTCTATTTCTAATAATTTCTAACCTCATGTGCCTGAGCAACTTCTCAATAATTCATGTTTCCCTAAGTTCTGCAGCCCTAGGAGCCCAGGATCAAGGCGGGTGTGGTTTGGTGTCCAGCGAGGGCCAGTTCCTGTTCACACTGCTTCTTCTCACTGTGTCCTCTCGTGGCAGAAAGGAGGAAAGCTCTGTGGTTCTCTCGTCTTTGGCTGCCCAGAGCCTGCTGCAGTCCCCTGGCGAAGGCCTCCTTCCCTCACGCGCTCGCACCCTGGGTTAGGATTTCAGCTCGTGCAGTCTGAGGGGCCACAGGAGTCTAGGCCACAGAACGTCAGCTAAATCCAAGCTTAAGGAGCTCATTCTTCATGATTTCTGATGCAGGGAAAATCCTACTGGTTTCTGAGCTGTGAAGAAGACAAGAAGAGCTCTGGATAGTTTGGGGACACTCCCCTGTGCTTCACTGGGTCACCAGCCATTCCAACTGTTGTGTTTTGCACCATTAGCATTGAGGTCACCACTATGAAACCGACACTTGGCATCTCTGCGTTACGGTGGGAACAGTCTAGTCCCAGTTTCGGCAAAGCATGTGCTGAGCAGTGTTATTACAGAATGATGTGAAGGCTGGCACCAGCTTCCTCCTTCAATTACTAATCTAGCGTATACCCTCTCAGCCTCTACGCTGTGTATGTGTAGAAAGCTCTGCCTGTGACTACTCAGAGCCAAATTAAATGTTGAAGAAATGCAAAAAAAAAAAAAAATGTAAAAATTAAGTCTGGGTGCATTTGTAAATACGATACATAGTATCAACTATTAATTTGGCCTCCCTGAGTTGGCTTGAAGGTTTAATAGAATTATTATTGCATGAAGGTGTTGTTACTAGCTGTGATGACAAACCCATCATATCTAATGTAAGCAAAACTTTGGTAAAAAAGAAATCCAAGCACAATTGTATGTATGGATATATCCACTTGCCTAAAATTGAGTTTGATGTTTTGTCTAGTTCTTAGAATCACTAAGAATAAATAATAATTTCAACAAGTAAAAGAACAGTATGTTCTTTTGACTATATAAACACCTTATAAGGAATGATTTTTATGTATACATTATAAAACTAGTGAATAAATGTGTAAAATCGCAAATAACAGTTTTATTATCACCCTCCCACACACAAAACATTGTCACTTAAGAAGTTTATAGACAGGGCCTTATATTTCCTCAAATGCAAAGAAAATTTGAGATAATTGTACACTTGGTTCCTATTTATTTTCTCATAAAATTCCAAGTTGCGCAAATTTTAATCAGCTACTCTACACTACTCAAAACTAATCTCCCATTGTGTAATAAATACTGAGCCCCAGTTGAGCAATATTTGTCCCCCAAAGTTAATCTTTTATCAGAAATTAGTTCTTCAAATGGCTATTTTTTACATTGAGGGCAATGCTCCTATATTTATCTCCAGAGATTAACACTTGACTGTTATATTACTTGAATAGTTCAGGAAAAAAATCACTGATACATACATCAAAGTAGAAAAACAGGGCGATTTCTCTTGAATTTTTTTTATAAGCCATCTTCTGTACTGTTGTATGCACTGCATACACTATGCGTGGATTTGTCATTCCTCTACCTGAAGTTTTAGAGATTGATCGCTAGCAGCCAAATTAAAACTTTCCATCTCTCTCCTCCAAGAGGACCTTTCACAATGTACCCTACTTAATGTTAATCTCAAGTATGCGACCAAATCATCTATTATTTAGTTATAGAACCAGGGTTATGGGCCATTGTGTTTGATTAGATGTTGGAGAATCCTTGGTCATCTCATTTTCATGTAACTATATACATTGCGTTCAGCTCTTTCTTACACAAGCTGTCAGCTTGGACAATCCTCATTCTATTTGCAGGTTTTTTTAACCATTCATTTTAAGCTCTTGAATAGTGACTACCCAGTGTCAGCTCCCTTGGAACAGTACTTTCACAACAGGAACTGAGAAGCCAACGTAGCTTCAGACTGAGAAATGAGCCTACCCACATCAGGGCTACCAGTTCTTGGCTATCGTGGAGCTGGTTCTGAAAGAACCTTCCAGAAACCTCTGTCCTCACTGTAGTTGAAATGTCATGACATTTAATTTTTCAGACAATTGTTTATTTCCTTACCAGAATTTGAAAGAAATAAAGTAACATTAAGTGAATCACAATAAAACAAATCTCAGTATATATAAGCATCGTTGTCTTTCAACAAAGATTTCACTCTACCGATCAATGCCTATCAAAGGTTCAGTGGAACAAAGAGGACATTAATGTTATTATTATATATGTCTATTACCATGAGGGTTGCGGCAAGGAGACATGTTTTGCATAGTAAAATGAACATCTTAATGTTTTGCAAAGAATATGGTTATTTCCTTCCTGGGAGTGGACATTGAGGGGGAGTGGATTTCTGCCAGGATAAAGCCTGCCTGACCAGTTCAGGAGAATTGAGTCTGAATAAAGTACTCTGCTGTAAATGAGAGCGCCAGCTTCTGACTGGGTAACTTCCCATTTGGCAAGTACAAAGTGTGTTGATTTATACAGCTGATATTACAG